CTGGCCATAGAGAATATTGTCTCCCATGCTTGCAAAATGGGCTGAAACCATCCGTACATAATCCAAGGTAGACATTTCTTCTCTCAGACGCAAATTCTGGATATGTTGATTGAAAATGCTTCCATGCTTTTGCATCTGAAGGATGTCTAATCTCACCATCTGTCGAATGCTCTGCATGCCATCTCATTGGTTGGGCTGTGCGTTCAGATTGATACAACCTCTTCAACGTTTCCGTCAGAGACAAATACCACATCCTTTTATATGGCACTGGAAGTCTTCCACTCGTATCTCTATAACGAGCCTTCCCACAAAATTTGCATGTAACCCAGTTCTCATCCACCCTCCAATATATCATGCAGTTATCGATGCATACATCTATTACCTGATACGATAAACCAAGACCAGAAACGAGTTACTGAACCTCCTAGTATGAACCAGGGGCTAGATTATCCTCTGGTAGAATACCCTTTACAAAATCAGCAATCGCATCCACACATTCTTCAGCCAAATTATAATTGGTTTTAATGCCCATCAGTCTTGTTGCAGATGATAAAGGTGAATGACCATCTCTGCAACCTTGGTACAAAGGTTGTTTTCCTGCATCCAACATATCAAAAAACCTCCTAGCTTCTACATTGGGTAATTCCTCCCCTCTAAAATGATCATTTACCATCTGCTCAGTACCTACACCAAAATTTACATATGTTCCAATTGGTTCTTCTAACCTATCCGATGTATGGGGTTTGCTAGTACTACCATATTCATAATCAGTTTCCCCGTGATGATACCAAATTTTGTAACTTCGTGTAAACCCGTTCAAATATAGATGAGTCCAAACATCCCACTCTTTTATAACCTTTCTATTTTTACAAGTAGAGCAAGGACATCTTAACATACCCGTTTTTGCTTCCGGTTGTCGTTGAACTAACGCCATGAATTCCCTAATGCCTTTAAGGTATTATTCCATAAGTAATTTCGTGTCGGGATCCAAATGAGGTCGATCCATCCATGAACAATAATAATTTGAAGAAGACATGTTTTTGTGAACCAGATTCGTGTGTATAAGTGAGAGGATGAGAATATTGAGTGAATGAAAGGAGAGGAGGGGTGCTTGTATTTATAGATGAAATGCTGCCGACGATTCCGACGGAAATTTAGTATTTCGTCGGAATTTCCTCGGAATATACAACGGTTAGAAATATCCGTCGGAATTTCGTCAGAATATACAGCGGTCAGAAATATCCCTCGGAATTCCGTCGGAATATTCCGATGAAATTCCGAGGGAAATGTAAAATCCTCGGAATTTACAAACTTTTCCAACGGCTCGTCAACGGCTATAAGAAATCCTCGGTATATCCCGACGGAATGTGTGTTCCTCGGAATTTCCTCAGAATATTCCGACGGACTTCCGAGGAAACGTAAAATTTGTGTTTCCTCGGACTGCCGTCGGAATTCCATCGGAATTTTCCGAGGAATTCGTTGGCTGTCGGAATGTTCCTCGGAATATGCCATGTTTTCTTGTAGTGTGTGGCTAAGTTCGAGGCTGTATTTGAAGATTAGTTTCGAAACTTTTTTGTTTGTAGTTTTTGCTTGATTTTAGAATGTTTTTTTTTTTGTTTAATGTCTTTCTCTTTGCTCTTCACAGAGCGAAACTTTTCTCCGCCATAAAACAGAACGTCTCGAAGGGTGGTCTAACCATTTCTCGGCATGTTTACCGAAACTCATTGCCTTTCCTGATGACCTCGTTTACGAGATATTCTCGAGGTTGACGTTGAAGTCTATAGCGAGATGTCGTTGCGTATGCAAGCTCTGGTCCTCTATCCTTGACCGTCAAGATTTCATAGAGCTGTTCTTGACCAGATCTTGTGCTCGTCCGCAGCTTCTATTCGCATGTGAAGATGACAGCCTACGAGGTTCACTTCTTCTTGCGCCTCAACCTGAAAATCCGGAAGACAAATCCATGGTGCCACCAGTTTGTACCTTCCTATGTCATCTACTACAATGTTGAGAGAAAGAGGATCAGAAAAGTTGGAATCCAAGGAATGGAAGCGTTTCATGGTAACGGTTTAAACACCTATCTCAACTATGTGAAGCTTCTTTAAGCATTTCAAGTGAAATTAGGTTATAGTATTCACTTGGAGTGTTTCTTTCTTTCTTTTTTTTTTTTGAAAATCCACTTCTAGTAGAATATTCAACAAGGAGATGATAAATATTGTTTTAGGATTTCAATACAATTTATATCATAAAACTACATCTTATTTGAAACGGAATGAATAAAAAATCTATCAAACAAAACATCTTTTTTGCTTTGTTGATAAAAGACAATTTATTTTCTAGCCATTTTCTTTTTCTAGTTTTTTTTCTCAATTATCAGTTTCTCTCACGTTTCATTGTGACTGATCTTCTACGTGTGAATAGTTGCATCTTCCTTGTAAATATGTTTCTTTGTTTCTTCTCTTATAATAAGTTTTTGAAATTCTTATAGAAAACAACATGAAATTATCATAGAACTCAATAGTTTGGTAATAAATAATTGATATTAAGTATTAACGTGATTTATCAAATGTTAAGATTTCGTAACAAAATGTTTCTAGAACATAGAACTAGATTATCAAATGTTTACAAATATAATTCACCTCCTATGGAACATTCAACAAGGGGATGATAGAAAATCTTCACTACAAGAAACAATAATGTAACGAGGACCGGTTTTATGGCTATTTCCTCGTAAATGAGTATTTACAAGAAAATAACCACGAAACGGAAAACGTCGTGCCACATTCGTCGTAACACATATTTCCTTGCTAAATTCTTGTAACTTTACGAGGAAATTGTTCGTTGTAAATACGGGCTTATATTTCTTTGCAAAAGACACACATTATATTCCACGTAAAATACACACTAATATATTGCTCATTAAATATACACAAAGCTTTCCTCGTTAAATACTCGTTAACCTTTGTCGTAATTTCCACGTAATTGTTTTCTCGTAAAGTCCACGCTAAATTTTGTAGTTAATTCCATATAAAGTTAACGACGAATTTACTTCGAAACTTATTTTTATGCATTGATAATAGTTAATTATTATATTAACTATAATAAAATATAAAAATAAATTATTTTTAAAAAATAAAATTAAAATAATAGAAGAAAACAAAAAAATATTTTTAAATATTTAAGTTTTAAATTTATATTACAACAAAAAGAAATAAAAAGAGCTAGGGGTGGTTCTGGAAGTCATCGTTCCTTCTGTCCATCTCGTCATGGCGGTCTGGTTCTGGAATGCCCAATGTCTCCGTCTCGCTGCTAACATCATCTCCAATTGCGGATTTCGAGCCGTTAGAACGTCTAAAAAATCTTCGAGTGAACCCATTTGAGCTTGCGTCGTGCTCAAATCAGAACATATCGCGTTCAACTCTGAACGCAGCTGAGCAATCTCATTGTCCCGTCGCTGAGCATAAGACGATGTCGCTTTTGGGAAATTGTTAACGGAACCAATTCCCAGTCTACGTCCCTTTTTTAAGGACGACCTTTAAAAAAAAATGTTAGCTAATAATAAAAAATTAGATAGTAAATGAATAATAATAATAATAAAATTTTACATGCTCGTAAATCTCATCAACTTCAGTTGTGGATAATATTTCAAAATATGAATACATTAGTAGTCATATTATTTATTTGTGCATATAAATAAATAAATAAATTAAAGCATATGTTTAATATATATATTATCTCCAAGTGATTCATGTACTTTTATTGGCAATAGCTCCGCAAATGCAAATGGAAGTAGTCGTTGCATAAAGACATGACAATCATGACTCTTTATCCCATAGAACTTTTGATCTTTTTCAACACATCTAGAAAATTTTGAAACATACTCATCAAAAAACTTCATTTCTGATGCCACTCAGTTGAACAACACCAACTTTTGTTCTAATGACAATCTGAATATCGGAACTAGAACTTGTCTATTGCTTTTAATATGTAACTCACTTCTTGAGAAAATATCAGGTAACTCCAATCTCGATTTTATGATGTCTTTCGTTTTCTCTGGGACATTCACTATTGTGTTCAGGATGTCTCAAAAAAATTCTTCTGTACATAAATCACGTCGAGGTTGTGCTGAACTCCGTAAAAGTCAGGTATATTATTGGGAGTATGCAGTTACCACAATGAGGTACGGTTTCTAGAACAGCGTAGTAATCGATTTGGGTTTCGATTTGTTCTCTAGTTATATATGGAGGAAAAGTATCTCTCACAACTTTTTTTATACATGAACAGTGTCTTGTTTCTTTTGTATGGATGATGATTGGAGAAAAATCGACGGTGACAATCGAACCCAACTTGTCTTAGTTTGTGGGAGGTGGGAGGCTACGACAAACTTTGCTTGGTTTGTGGCGTCTTAAAATAAACGACACAGTGTTTATCTCCGAAAAGGTAAAACCACTAGTAAGCTACTTTTGGGCTATTTAGTATGTGGACCCTAAATAGGCCCAAGCAAATAACACTTCCAAATTCTACAGTGCACTCACGAGAGTTAACATTGTCAATTTTCACCTTCATGTATTTACTATTTACTGCGTTTTAGCTATATATTTTTTTGTTAACATCCAGAATTTGTGGAGGAGATCATCATGGACTTTATAATGGGGTTAAGGAAGTGTAATTGTTTTTCTTCAAATGTAATGGCTTCCAGATTCTTCTACGAGTTTGGAGAAGTTAGCAGTGGTAACTTGGTATGTCTCTCTCTGTTAAATAATGATAATTGGATAGAATAAAGTGTTTTCTAGTCCACACAAGATATAGCACAAAGAAACTGAAGTTAAATTTTAGTTTTAGAGGCAATTAAAGAGAACACTTGTAAGTTGTGAGTTGAATCTTCTCTTTGTCTCACCCTTTTGCGTGTGTGTTGTGTGTGGCCATTAATGTAGTAAAAGCAGATTACTTTGGTCGGGAAGATCAGACACACACACACACACACCTAGGGAGCAATCTTATCCATGGCGGCTATTGCTAGTCTCCAAGCAATCCATCTCAAACTCGGGAGACGTGGCAGCATCCGATGCGGGATCGCTGAGCCGAGCGGAGAGCCAGCTCCTATAGGGCAGAAGACTAGATACAACGATGGCTTAGCTGAGAGAGTGTTCATGGGGCTGTTCGCGAGGAAGATGGACAAGTTTGGTGGCTCAAAGAAGAAGATTGAGATGAAGGAGAAAGAGTTTTGGGAATATGACTACGAGAGCTTCGTTGCGGTTTCAAAGAGAGTGATGCAAGGACGATCAAGGACACAGCAGCAAGAGGTTGTGAGAGAGGTTCTTCTCTCCATGCTACCACCTGGCGCTCCTGAGCAGTTTAGAAAACTGTTCCCACCGACGAAATGGGCTGCAGAGTTCAATGCAGCTCTCACAGTGCCTTTCTTTCACTGGTTGGTTGGTCCTTCTCAGGTCATAGAAGTGGAAGTGAATGGGGTGAAACAGAGAAGTGGCGTTCGTATAAAGAAATGCAGGTATGCGATCATTACTACTACTTGTCTACTTGTTCTTGTCTTGTTTCAAAATTGTCACAGAGTTTGCTTTTGAAGGTATCTGGAGAACAGTGGGTGTGTAGGAATGTGTGTGAATATGTGTAAGATCCCAACACAAGATTTCTTCACCAATGAGTTTGGTCTTCCACTCACCATGAACCCAAGTAATTAACCTCTTTCACACCATCTCATCCCTTCCTTCCTTTTGTTTATAGTATTTACCATTCTCTCTATTTTCTGTTGTAGATTTTGAAGATATGAGTTGCGAGATGATATATGGGCAAGTGCCTCCTGCCTTTGAGGAAGATCCAGCCACCAAACAGCCTTGTTTAGCAGACATATGTAAGTCTTACTAGCACTCAGATTGCATAGAGATGTAGCTAGTATGTAATTTAACTAACACATGATGATGTTGCTTCTCTGCAGGTTCTATAGCCAATCCGAGCTCCCCAATCTGCCCTAAATTACAGCCATGAACGGAATTTGATCAGCCATATGTGCCAAGAGATATGATATATACATTACATACTTATTCACAAACACATACACAAAAAAGTCAACAGTGTAGAGAGTTTGATACTAATTATTATTCTGTACTTCTATGCTAGTTGAGCTGTGAAATTATCCGATGAATACACACACTTGAGCTTACTCATCTCCATCATGTTGAATTATAGTCCTTTTGATAGTTGATAGAGAAACAAATTAACAGATGTGGAACAGATGAGGCATTAATGTTTGAATAAACCATGTCAAATAGTACGAACAGAAACAAGGAGTGTGATTTAGTAAAAGCACAGGAAAGTTGTTGGCCCAACAAACAATCGTGATTGTTAGTTACCTAAAGAGTAAGACAACCTCTATTTCTGCCCACTCCTCTTACTCTCTAAAGACAGCAGCTAACTTTGAGGTCAAGAGACAGATAGAAAGACACATAAAAAAAGAATGATTAGAGCTGATAAATATATGATGATTCTTTAAGCTTTACAACACACTTCCATATATAATAGATTTATTTAACCCAACTTTCTATTTCAATTTTATTTCTTTTATACTCAAATACATTATGTGTTTTTTTAAAAGACATCTCACCACCTCCTTTTACAGCTAAAGATAGACATGAGGATGGAGAGGAATCATGCAACGATGATGACCAGAATCCCCACTTCAGATTCTGACAATACGATCATACGAGAAAGAGATATAATGGAATCGGTCTGTAACACCTGGAAACTCTACGATAACCCTTACTACTGCTGCTCACAGTCTCAACATCATCAACAACAACGCAAGTCTTTTATTTGGGATCTAAATTTCACAAGGATCTTCATGGAATCTGAACTAGAGAAAGTTCGAGCCGAGATCACAAAACTGAAGGCAGAGCTGGACTATGAGAGAAAAGCTAGGAGACGAGCAGAGCTTATGAACAAGAGGCTGGGAAAAGTTGTGGAGGAGGAGAGAATGGATAGAGAAGAGGTGGAGATGGAATACAAGCGTCTCTTGGAAGAGAGATCGTCTGAGAAATCAGAGATGGTTAGGATGAGACAAGAGCTAGAGGAAGAGAGACATATGCATAGGTTGGCAGAGGTTATGAGGGAAGAGAGAGTTCAGATGAAGCTGTCGGATGCAAGGCTTTTCTTGGAGGAGAAGCTATCTGAGTTAGAGGAATCTAACAAAGAAGGAGACAAGGATAGGAAACCAAAGATGCTGGAGAGAGCGAGTAGCGCACCTGCGAGTAGGAAGAGTGAGAATCCGCATATAAAGAGAGGGATCAAAGGTTTTGTGGAGTTTCCAAGAGTGATGAGGGCAATAAGATCAAAAAGTGAGAAATGGGGTTCGAAGGTTGAGTGCCAAAAGGTTCAGCTCAAGACTCTGCTCAGACAAAAGACCACCCCAAGATGTTCTTCTCTTCGCCCATCTGCTTGATACAGTAAAGCTTAGATTCCGTTTCACTTCGATCTCAATAGATTCACATGTAAGACTGAAGCTGTACTAATAAGGGATTCTCATTGTTTGTCCATGAGGTAATATTTTGTGAAATTTGATTTGTGACATCAAGTGGATTTTGTAAATGACCAATTATCGTTCAAATAGATAAATAGTCGGCGCCATGAGGAATATGGAAAAGTTATTACGTTTTTTTGGTCAATGAAAAGTTATTAATGGCGCATTAGTGGGACTTAGATTTTTTTAGGGTTTGTTAATTTTAGAAGTTGAGAAATTTGTTAAATTTGAAAAGAATTGAAGAGAATTTTGTGTATTGTAAAAATCTATGAAAATAAAGTGTTATAATAATTTTAAGAATCCAAAGGATATATGTAGTATTTTCAAAATCTTCTTTTGTGAGTTAACATGTTAAGAATATAACTTCTAATAACACTTACTTTAATATATTTGTAAAATCATTAAAATCTAAACTTTTTGAATAATAAAGAATTTTGTATAGAATTATAATATCATCAAACCAATAACACTAAATTGGTTAGTCTTAAGAAAATGCTAAAACTGAATCATGCAGATATATTTTTAATTTCTAAATTAACATTAAGAATAGAAAATAAGTTATATTGATGTAGGTCTTGTATAGTTTTAGATTTTGTATAAAAATAAGTTTGATTTGGCGAAAACTGTTTTTATTAAAATTTTACTATTTTATATTAACCACTTGTTTTATTTGTTTATATAAAATTGTAATAGCATGTTAAAAAAATTATAAAAATTAATTATTTTATTTATTATTAATAGTTTATTAGACTTTTGTTTAAAATTGTATATTCTATAAATGTTGATATGTGACTAAAATAAATTCGTTAATACAATATTTTTAAAATACTGTTTTATTTAATATATTATATTTCAATTTTGTATTTTATTATTATCATTAAAAATTGTGCATAAATTTTTTATTTTGTTATATATAAAAATAATATTATATTATTATAATGTTTGGACTATATTACTCATTCCAAAATTAACTACCCAAAAACACATAGAATCTGTTAGGATTTAGATATAAATCTTTTCTAAATATTTTATTCAGATATTAATCAATATTTATTTTATATTTAATACATGAATATTTTTAGGTTAATTTTTAAGTTGCTTATGTGCCAACTATAACTTTTTATAGTACATTTATTTTAGACTCTATTTTAATAGAGTAGATATTACGATAGTTTGTAAGATATATACGATATAGTTTAAACACACACACACATATATATATATATATACGATATAGTTTGTAATGTACAATGTACAAGCCTAAGGTATCATGTGCCCAAAATTTCCAATTTTTTATTTTATTTTAAGAATGTTCTATAATCATTGCAGATTTTTAAAACATTTGGCCCAAAATATATTAAATGGGAAATAGTGAAAATAGACCATAATGAAAATCTTTATGTCTTTTTATATGTTTGCATTAATTGGTTAGTTTTGGACACCAATACCTTTATAATAACAAAAAATATTCTTAAAAACTATATAGAAATTAGAAAATATGAAAACTTAATACAATCACGAGAATATTTTGTGTGTTCTGATGTAAAATTAAATTTCAAAAATAATTTGGATATGTTGATATAGATTTGTATATAATCCTTTTTATCAAGGATAAAATGCACATGGTAATTTATATTCATCGTTTTAGACTCTGTGTTCATAAATCTGACTTTGTATTGTAAACTCTTCAAAGGGTCTATCTAATAAATATGTCTGCATAAATTCCAAATAAATTCTTCTGTTATTTATAACATACAATATATATATATATATATATATATTAGGTTTTTACTTCATTGTAGAAAAATTTTAAAAACGTTTGTTTTTATTTTATCATTTACTCTATCTAATATTGACCTTTATGCTATATTATAGCCATGTTTGAATTTATCTTCTAACCTTATATTTGTGTTCTATCTTTTTTAGAACACATTTTCTATACTTTGGTTATTTTTTATTTTAAATGAGAAAATAGGAAATAAGCATAATTAATTTTTTTCACACTATCTTGTTCTTCAGAATTGCATTAAATCATGTTGAATTCAACCATTTTTGATTCAACGATCTTTTTTTCTATCTCTTGCTCATCAAATCAAATAGTACATATCTATGGTGTATGGAGACAAGATGCAAATATCGAATAGAAGTTCATTGTTGATAAGAAAAAATGAGGTACATTATTCATCTTAGAAGCAAGTACTACGTTAGACAAATTGAAGACAATGGTTTTGGAGGATTTTGGATTGGACGAGAGAATTGTTAATGTTGAGTTGAGTTATTTTCCAAGTTCTCTGATGATTATCTTTGCAAACACATAACTTCAAATGTTCAAATATTTAAATATTACAATATTTACTAACACAATCTCTTATTAATTTACCCAAAACAAAAACTCCAGTTGTATAAACTTCAATCACATCATAAATTTCTAAAAAAAAGAGAGAAAGAAATCGTTGAGAGAAAAAACATAGACAAAGATGAAAAGAAATAGAAGAAAGAGATTGATGACAAAAGAAAAAGAAAGATATATAATGTCCAACAGAGAGAACATTGGAGAGACCACCGGTGAAAACTTTAGAGAGATCGGCGAAAAATTGATTTGGTATATTTTCTTCAAGAAGAGACAAATTGTGAAAAGATAGAATAAGAACAAATATGTATTTAAATTTATTTAAATTTTTAATTGAAAATAACAAACTGAAATATTATTAATATTTGGGTTAATAAATTATGTCAATTATTTAATCATAAGGTTAATTTGTATTTATAAAAATCAAAGGTATACTGGAGAAAAATCAACAGGCTCAAAAATATAAAAAGACAATTTTTTTTTCTCTCAATATGATCCAATTAACCAATTTTCCTAAATTAAAATAAAAATTCTGAAGTCGGCATCTCGAAGATTAAACTTTGAACCAATCAAAGCCCGAGTTTGCTAAATTCGAGGTGTCCAAAAAAAAGTTTGTAGTCAAAGTTATTGATTATTCAAGGAAAGCGAGTTGATTTTAAAGTTCCTTCGTTGAAAAGATAAAATTAAAAAGTGAGTGAAGGAGACGATAGCCAAAAACATCAGTTTCAGTATAAAGGTTTCCGCGTAAAAGAATATCAGATCTATCTTATCAGTCACTCGTAACTGATAATTTTCGATTTGTAGCTCACTGACGATTTAGGGTTTTGGATCTTTTTTAGCAATGGCGGACAAGGTCGAGAAGATGAAGGCCCGGCAGGATTACCGGAACTTATGGCACTCCGATCTCATGGGCACCGTCACCGCCGACACTCCCTGTAAATCTCTCTCTCTCTCTTTCTCTCTGTTTCCCTTCGCTATCTTTTTCGATTTCTCTATCTTAATCAAAAGAACTTGATCTTTTTTTGTGTGTGCAGATTGTTGCTTGGCGTGTGTGTGGTAAGTTGTTACTCTATCTATAAATGACTTTAGGGTTTTGCTATCGAAGCATATATTCATACTCCAGTTACCTTCGCTCTTAGAAATCACATATGCTTCCGTGGTTTTCTGTATTGAATGAATGTTGTGAATTAAAATCCCTATAAGAGTGTAGATAATTGCTAACTTGATCACACTCTTATTTGAACGATTGTTATTGTTTGTCTTCATGTTTTGGTACACCTGCATTTGATATATGTTTATTTGCTTGTGTAGTGGACCATGTGTTTCTTACTTGCTTCGGAGAAGAGCACTTTACAATGACATGTCTAGGTATCAACTACTTTTTTTTATCTCTGTGTACATTAAGATATTTATTTCTCCCTTTGCTAAGGTATTGTGAGTTTTTTTTCTTTTTTTTTTTCTGTTGCAGGTATACTTGCTGTGCTGGATACATGCCCTGTAGTGGGAGGTGTGGAGAAAGCAAGTGCCCTGAACTTTGCCTTGCCACCGAGGTCTGACTTCCAGTTTGATGAACAAAATTAAACAGCTTATGATATGGACAATTTCTTGATCATTCTTTTTTCCCTTATCTCTGTGACATTTGTTCTAATCTGACTACTTTTAATCCCTTTAGAGAAACATTTCCTTCTCTTTATTCCAATTACTTTGCTCATTTCATTTGACTCAGAGATCACATTCTCTTCGACAACCTTACCAAAGAACTGGATGTTTTTGGCTTGTAAAACTTACTGGCATGAGTAGTCCCTTCAAAAAGATCTCTTGATAATCGTATGATTCGACATTTGTGGTTGCAATTTTCAGGTTTTCCTCTGCTTCGGAAACTCTGTGGCCTCTACTCGCTTTCTTCTGCAGGATGAATTCAACATTCAGACAACACAGTGCGACAATTGCATTATTGTACTCTCCTTTTTACTCTTCCTATTTCAACTTGCTTTACACAGAATGCATATTTGTTTGAATCCAGACTAATCTCATCATTGGCGTTTTGCAGGGATTCATGTTCTGCCTAAGCCAAGTCGCTTGCATATTCTCTATTGTCGCTTGCCTTGTTGGTAGCGAAGAACTTTCTGAAGCTTCTCAGATACTCTCTTGCTGTGCTGATATGGTCTACTGCACGTATGTATTTACACTTCCTTTGATTATTTTTTCACTTAATCCTCTAGTATATTCATGTTCACCCATCGCTAATACTTTAACGCGCGGTCTTGGTTTTCATTTTCTTGCAGGGTCTGCGCGTGTATGCAGGTACAAGATAGCGAGAACTAGAAATTAATCTCTTGGCTTATGGAACTATGTTATCGAATGGTATATATAAACAAAACCCAATCTTCTTCTTTTTATAGACACAACACAAGCTTGAAATGGACAAAAGAGATGGAGTGTTTGGATCTCAGCCAATGGGAGTGCCACCGGCTCAGCAGATGTCCCGCTTTGACCAACCCGTCCCTCCTCCAGTTGGATACCCGCCGGCATCTTACCCACCGGCTCAAGGCTACCCTCCTGCTTCTTACCCGCCGGCTCAAGGTTACCCTCCTGCATCTTACCCGCCTCCCGGTTATCCCCATCACTGAGAAAACTTTAAACCATCCTCCTGCATCTTACCCGCCTCCCGGTTAGCCCCAGCATTGAGAAACTTTAAACCGATATCTTCATATTGTGTGTCAGAGTGTTGTTGTTACTCGGTGTAGTTTGTTATATTTTGTTTTCCAGCTATCTTTCTCAGTATGTGGTTGCTTTGCAAGTATTATTAGTACTTTGGTTAAAAGCTTTGGTATCATCTGGTGTATTGATTTCATTGGTATTTCTTTCCTCGCTATTGTGATTTCCTTGCACTTGCTTAACCAAGTAGTTTTTAGCCAGAAGCAGTATTTTTTTGCGTAGTCTAGTTTCTTCATTTTTCTTTCTCTTATAAGCTAAACTTGGTAGCAAAACGAATATTAATCAATGTTGTACATTTTCATTCACTATGTTTAGATTTTATATATCACCTAAACATCTCTTGTTTGGTTTGACCTAAAAGTTGCGCAAACTAGAGTCCATAAGTTGGAACTTGAAAGCGAAGCAAAGGATCCAATAAAGTAGATGCTGATTGCTGACCATGGAGTTTCGAAGATGCTTGCGTTTTATTTTTTGCTAACTTATAAATGTTATATCAATGATTGAAAGATCTTACAAAAGCAGAATCTTAAGTTTGTTTCTTCTTGGCAAAAATTGAACATAACAAGGAGAAACATGAATATTAGATGAATTCTATCTATCTCAACCAAATAGACATAAGAGGCTTTAAAAGTTTCCTATGGAAGATGCATGGTTAAAGAGATCCTACGAATTTTCTTGTGCTATGCGCATAAGTAAAAATTTTAATAATAATAATATTATTATTATTATTATTATTATTATTATTCTAAACAATAATTAAAATTCAACATTATTATTTTATAATTTGATCTAATTGTTTTGGAATGTTTTTTTTTATATGGTTTAGTTATTTCAATTTTATTTTATTTAAATTCCAATAGAGTTACAACTATAGTATATAAAAATAAAAAAATATTCATATTATATTATATTATATTTTAAACAGGTCTCCTATTTCTTAGTTTTAAATATGATTTTATTAAAATATATAAATTCTAATGAATTTTGGATTTTTGTTTGTTTTAGTTAAAATATGTTAACTTGGTACAATTAATATTTTAATTAGCCTTATAAGCCGATAAATTTAATTTTTTTTAGTTGATCAGTAGTTCTTTGGTTTTGTATTATATTATTTGTATTCAATGATTATTTATTTTAAATATTTCTCTTATTCCTTAGTTTTAAATATTTCTTTGTTTAAATATATAATTCTAATGAATTTTGGATTTTGATTGTTTTAGTTAAAATATATTAGATAGGTAAAATTTAATCTCTTATATATTAAAAGAGAACAATACAACATTTTAGATATGACATATGTCATCACTAAAATGCTTCTAAAGTCTCTAAAAATATGTGGGTCCATTATATATATATATATATATATATATATATATATATATATATATATATATATATATATATATATATATATATATATATATAATGGTTCTCATTAAATCAATCATGAAATAACTAATAATGTACAATGAATATTTCATTATTTCCTTAAATAAAAATTACAGGATTACCTAACAGGACTAATATATATATATATATATATATATATATATATATATATATATTGACAATTAATGATTGTGATAGATTTGATAAGAATTTGTGTATCTTCCATCATTTATGTTTAATTTTATATTATTAACATAAAATAAATAAATATATTAACCATATAATAAAAATTTACATTTTTGTATATGTTATAGTTTGGATTTTTAAATGATTATAAATAACTAAAAATTTTCAAATACTCACATTACAAAGTTTTTGATCAAGCGTTTACAATTTTTGTTTAAAAAAGATATAAACGATCATAAAATATATGTGGAAAAAATCTTATTTAATAGATATACAAAATAATATATATATATATATATATATATATATTAAAGTATATATCATATAAAAATACACCAAAAAAATAATTTTAAAATTTGTATTGAATAAGAATTGAGAACTTAAAATATTAATTTCAAAATTTACGTAGGATTTTCAAAAACAATTATAAATGAATGAAAAATTAAAGACCCACACTAAATATTTGTTAACACAGAATTACAATTTTTTTTATAAAAGATACATATAATCATAAAACCATGTGATTAAAATCTCATTTAATAGATTTACATATTAAAATATATTATATATCTATATTAATATCATTTAAGTTTAAATTTATTCATAATGTATAAAGTGATTCTATATATTTTTTACCATAAGCTGATTGTATATGATTAGGATTAGTTGTTTGATGTGTTTGTGCCAATTTATTATATACGTAATAATTACTTTTTCATTTAATTAATATATTTTTATTATATTGTTAGTTTTATAATATGGAAAAAAACGTAAAATAAGTAATATTCTGTTAAAATAATTTTTATATTTAAAGTTTCACGCAAGGCAGAGATCTTAGACTAGTATGTTAATTAACCTAATAAACCGATAAATTTAAACAAAATTTAAGCATTTAATTATCAACAAAAAGTTCATTGATTAGTATTCCTTTAGTTTTGTATTTTTTAATATAATTTGCAATTACTTTTGATAATATATTTATATATATATAAAAATGATATATTAATTGATGTATGAAGTTATACTTTTAATTATATTTAGTTTATTTTTAATATAATATATATTATATACTTTAATGGTGATATATAAGTTATTAGTTATAAAAATATATAAAAGATCTTGCCAAAAATAAATATTTATTCATAAAATCAATTTAAGGATGATCTAAAAATTATTAGTTATTACCATATTTAATAAAATTTGTCAAAACACTACAAGAAAACTCGTCCGTTACTAGGATGAGTTTTCCTCGTTATTTCCTAGTAAATGGACATTTACTAGGAACTTACGAGGAAACGCGTTTCCTCGAAACACGTTCATCATAAAGCCTTTTTCCTCGTAAAGTCCTAGCGAATTTACGAGGAAACTTTTCCTCGTAAGGCCCTCGTAGGCTTTCCTCGTAAGCTTTCCTCGTAAGCTCGTAGTAATATTTTCCTCGTAAGATCGTAGTAATGAATTACGAGGAACTTACTAGAACCATTTACGAGGACATTACTTGGAAACATTTACGAGTATTTTGTTTCAAAATGTTTTTTCCCTATTAAAATAAATTAATTATAAATAATTATTTTATTTAAAAAAAAAATCAAATTATAAATAAAAAAATAAAAAACACAATATTTTATAAATAACTAAATAATATACAATGAAGTTTTAAAATTCATAATATACAATTAAAAATAAATAAAAACTACGGATGCTGGTCGTGAAATTGCCGAACGAATTCGTCATGGCTCGCCAAATCCTGCTCCTCTCCTAAGTTGGTTGTCGGCTGTGACTGTGATGGTGGATGCTGTTGGGTTGGAATCCCTCCGCGTTCCCGTCTCTGACGCAACATCTCCTCCAAATGCGGGTTTCCAACCGCCATAATCTCGAGAACATCGGTGAGAGAAGTCACATGCTCGGTGAGAGAACTCACATGAGACTGCGTCGCCTGCAACTCCGAGCGCAGCTGAGCATTGACATCGTGCTGCTCCTGATGATAAGACGATGTCGTTGCAGGGACATCGTTAACCGAGCCAATCCCGATGATACGCCCCTTTTTCCTAGGGGCGACCTGTAAATAAAAATATTAATTAATAACATTAAGAAAAAATTTAAAAAATATTAAAAAGTAATAGTAAAACAAATTATTTACCTCCTCGTAAATCTTATCCACGTCAACAGTGGATAATATGACTTGACTCCCGGTCTGCTGAGTCAGTTGGGCCTGGCGTTCGTCAACTCGGGCAACAAGCTCGTTGTAGATCCGCTCGGAAGCAGGATCTACAAACTGCCCACTCTTTCTCCTGTGGATCCGCTCGTAAAGGTCTTTCAGAGATGGAAGAACTCCCGTCTCTTTAGCCTAATTTTTTTTAAAAAATTAAATATTAATTTAGAATATATATTAAAGTAAAAATTAAATAGTTATAACAAAACATCTTACCATGTCTAGACGAACTCTCCCGTGAGGTTTTCGGCCAGTGGTGTGAAGCACCTTCGTGTTGCCATGCTCGTCTTTGGTCATGCGGTTCCCGGAATTTGTGTTGGAGGTTCTGACCGAGTCCGGCAACCCCCAATAGCTGATGAGGCCATCCCACACCGTGGTTGTGAGGCAATCGGGTTTCCCGGCCTCGTAACCATCCACCTGATTTAAAAAAAAATTAGAATTAAACTCAATATATAATATATATTTTTAAAACTATATATATTATAATTTATAAATCTATACCTAATAGTCGCCCTTCCAGCTGTAGACCATATCGAGCAATCGTGCTTTTGCCTTGGCCTCAAACTCATTCTTCACCCGCTGGTGAATCCCAATAGACCAACGATACTTTTGATGTAACAAAAAAAAAATAAAAGACAAATTAGTTCAATAATATTAATAATTATAAATAATTAAAAATAAATTAAGGAATTAAACTTACAGCGAACGATTTGAACCACGTCTTTTTTGTGTGGCTCGCGGTCATCTTCCAGTTTGGAGCTGGATCGGGAAAGTATCCCTTGATACAGTCCGTGACGCTAGATCCGACACAATTGTCAAGACCAAACCTGGAAAGACACAAAATAAATCATTAATTAGATTAATTTCTAAATATTTTGTTAATTAGAAATAAATAAAAAAAACTTTTTTAAAAGTTAAAACATACCTATATACCATAATACGTTTTGTCCGTCCCATCTTTTTGGATCTAACTCCGCCAGCCCTTCTCTGCCTGGAAGGGCCAAAATATCCTCCACCGTGTACACCGCAAAGGGTGCATTTGGCGGCACCTGCAAATCGGGATGAACCCCGACCGGTGGAGGAGGAGGAGGAGGAGGTGGTGGAGGAGGAGGTGGTTGCCGGGACGCCATAGAAGCTCCCTGAGTCTTGGGAATCGAATATGAATCGGGAGCTGACGAAGATGAACCCGGAGCATCCTGACGCCCAAACATATCTCCGTAGTGACTCCCCTCGAGAGATGACGACGTCCTCTTACCAGCAGCCTTAGCAAACTTGCTCTGTCTAGGCATCTAATTTTTTTTAAAAAAAAAAAAACAAAAATCAAAACATTAATTCCTCGTATACAATTTAAAAAAACACTAAATAAAAGTAAACAAACCTAATCTAAATTACCTAAACTAACCACCTAATCTAAATTACCTAAATTAACCACCTAATCTAAATTCCCTAATCTAACCAGATAATCTAAATTCCCTAATCTAATCACTTAACTACGAATTAGAGAGAACCTTTAGAGGATTTAGAGAGAAGGTTGCTAGCAAATGA